CTGCAGCTCGCGGTACATGGGATCCGTGCTCAGCCTCTCGTAGCCCTCCAGCACAGAGCACAGCATTTGGTACACCCCCCGCACCTCCGCCAGTCGATCCACCCCCACTCTCAGCCCCACCCCCACCTCCCCGTCCGCCCTAAGCAGCTCCAATAGCTCCGCGACAACACCCGCCTGGGCCCGTATCTCCCGCCAAGTGTGTGCCCAGGACCCGTAACCCGCCAACCCCTCCGCCGCCGCCGCCTCCCGCTCCAGCTGCAGGCTGGTCTGTCGCAGCACCGCTAGCAGCGGCCCCCTCAGCTGGTCCAGCAGCAGCTGCAGTAGCAGCTGCTGCCGCAGCTGCGCCTGTGCCGCCGCCGCCGCCACCGCCTGCTCCTGCCGCCACTGCGCCTCCTGCTGCAACGCCTGCCGTACCCTAGCCAGGGACATCGTCAGCAGGAGCTGCTGCAGGAACAGCAGCGGCTGCAACACCGCATCCACCTCCGCCTCCACACCAGCTCCTCCTCCTCCACCACTACCACCGCCATCACCAACATCTCCACCGCCATTGCCGCGGCCGCCGCCGCCGCCAGAGACACTGCCCCGCGCAGCCCTCTCCGCTGCCCTCAGCAGCCGCGGTCGCACTTGCCACCTGTCCCTGGGCACCTTGATGACGTGGGTCAAGGCGTGCAGCTCCAGCCTCCTCAGACTGACCGCCAGCTCCAGGGAGGAGGTGAGGGCTGCGGCGGTGAGGCAGGTGGCGGGCAGCTCCAGAGCCAGCGTGTGCAGGTGGGGCAGGGAGGTGGTCATCAGCTGCACGTGGCGGGGCTCCAGCAGCGGGCGGCAGGCGGGGTCGCAGCGCAGGGCCAGGTGGGTGAGGTTGGTGAGCTGGCTGAGCCTGGGGAGGGAAGGGAAGGGCAAGAAGGGGGGCAAGAAGAACCACGTGAACGAGTGAAGCTGATGCCAGGGATAGACCGACACGCCGGAAGTATGTAAGGAATACCAGCTGACCAGTCGCGACTTGTGAAGGGAGGAGTGGGGGGTGAGGCAGAGGGGGTTGCAGAAGGGGTTTCATGTGGAGGGGCCGCAGAGGTATAGGTGCGCAGGAAGGGGTGCGGGTGGGTTTGTCCATGTGGGTCGCACGGGGGCTTCTTGAGGGTGGAGGGAGAGAGAGAGAGGGAGAGAGAGCTCTCGTCACGCGGTGTCTGTGTTGATTACTCACAGGTATACAGAGTGACATCGGTACTGATATTGTGCAGACGCAGGTACTGGTAGCCACTTTTATGACTGTGACTTGAAGCCCTAGCAGAGCACCCTCCACCCGCACCCCCAAGGGGCTCCCCCACCCCGGTTGCTGTCCCCTCCCCGGCTCGGGCCCCTGGGCGGCAGGTGCCGAGCCCCGGCGGCGCCCGTATCCGTCTAACCTCCCCCCCTTCACCCACACGCACTTGTACAGGTTGTCCGCCCTGCCCTCCTCGAACCGCAAATCCAGGTTCCGGAGCCCCACCACCCCGGACAGCTCCTCAATGAAATTCTCATCCAGCTCAAAGCGGGGTAGACCACCAACACCGACACCGGTGCAGCTGCCGCCGCCATCGTGGCTTAGAAGGTCGCCAGTGTCGACAGTGCCGCCGGAGCCTGGACCCGCGGGTCGGTCGATACACTTGTCTTCCATAGTCGTGGCCTCAGCCATCTTCACCTCCCTGGCCCTCAGCCTGCCTAGACGCAGCACCACCTTGACAGGTTCCGGAGCGGTGGCTGGTGATGATGCGTCAGCAGCGGCGGCGGCGGTCGGCCCGTCGATGCGCCTCCGGTGCCGTCGCCGCTGTCTCGGCTGCTGAACCCCCTGCTGCCGCTGCTGCTGCTGTTGTTGTTGTTGTTGTTGTTGTTGTGCCTGCGTCAGCTGCCTCACCCCCTGGAGGAGCTCTTTAAACCAGCTGGCGGCAATATAGGGTTTTGGGTGGTAGGGTAGGGGTGGTAGGGTAGGGGAAAGGGGGCGGGAGGGTGTGCGGATCCTCGATATACGGATGCGGGGGCAGAAGGGGTGTGCTGGGAGGGATATGCAGTCGGTGCCGGGGGGTTGGAAACCCTAAACCCCGATTTCAGAGCAGCAAGAAGCAAGGCCCGGGTGCCCAATCCCTCTTCCCTTGGCCATCTAGCTCCACCCTTCCCCACTCACACACACACAACTTCAACCGACCCATGGGTCTGTCGTTTCCCGGCCCACCCACCCACCTACCTAGTGAATTGATCCGGATGAACATGGTCCGGATCGCCCACACCGATCTCGAGTAGGCGCAGGTCCTGCACGCGTATGTCGGTATGTCAATAGTAAGTGCGTGGCAGTGGGACCTACGGGGGGGGGATGTGGTTAGAAAACACACAGGAGGGGCCGCGGACCCGCTTACACGCGCCTCCCGGACACCTAATGACCATAATGGCCGCAAGAGAGAGTGCTGTGAGGCGGGTTTGGGTCGCATTGGGCCGTGTTGGGGGTCAGGGAGGACATCGCTGCTGTAGCTGTACCAGACGGCTTCCAATAGCAGGGAGCGGAGGGTCTGTATGTGTGTCTGCAAGTATGCGGGTGAGTGAGATTGCAAGGACATCCATCCATCCATCCATACATACATTTACATGTACATATATGTATACGTAGATACATACATCCTTACATCCATACAATACAGATCCTAAAACCCCATCTGCGTGTGGGTTTTGCCGTACCTGCAACTTGACGAGCTGCTTCGCCAGCTCGTCCAGCCTGCAGTAGTCCATGTCCTCCGCCCACACCCCGCAGTACGTGGCGACCTCGAGGTCCTCCACCTGCAGGGAGGTCAGCCGCGTGAGGGCCCCCAGCAGCCCGGGGGACAGCAGGCGGCCGCTGATGCGCAGGCGGGTGAGGCGACTCAGGCTGCCCAGGTCCACATCCCGGGCACTCCAAGTGGAGTAGTACTGCGGGGGACAGACGGACAGACAGGTGGGTACATACATAGTACATTGATTCGTACATACATACATACATACATACATGTATGGTTCATATGTACACATGGCTCAGATTAATCGAAAAACACGCACGGCTGTGTGCACACGTGCAGCAAACGTGATGACGGGGACCCTACAGAGCAGAGCGGTTTCTGCGACCAAGTGAGTGAGTAGGACCCCCTCTCCCTCTCCATCCGCAGATCACCCTCGCGTGCCGCCACCCTCAGCTCCCCGCCCCGCCCGCCCACTTCCCCGCTCCATATCCCCCTCCCCTTCCCCGCCCCACGTACAATCATACCCCCCCACACATACACACGCGCGTACCCACCTGCTTCCCCAGCTCCTTGCCTCGCTCCACCGCCTGCAGCAGCTCCAGGGAGGTGAGCCGCTCCAGGGAGGATAGGCCGTACAGAGCCACACCCCGGGGCTGAGACACGAAGTTGGCTGTCACAGACAGGCTTTCCAAGCCCCTCAGTAGCCCCAGGGCACCCAGGCCCATGCAACACATCTCGCAGTCCTGCGGGTCGGGACGGCGGGATAATGCTGGTCGTACTCGACCGCGGTGGCGGCCCCGGGTACGGCCGCCGCGTGCGGCCGCGTCCTCGGCCTCCGGGGAACCATCCGGTTGCGCGGGCGGGTTTGGCGGCTGGGGTGGCGGTGGGAGAGGGTAGTCCTGTGGTAGCAGAGGGGGATGGGTTGGGGGGAGGGATGTGCGGTTGGGATTCCCTTTCTTTTCTTTCCCCGTCCCTCATTCCCGTCCTTCCGCCCCTCTGATCCCTTGCTCCCCTCCGACCCCTGCTCCATCAGCCCCAGCCCACGCCGCGCTGAACACCCCCTCACCCAGTCTATGGTCAGATGTCGCAGCTGGGTCCAGCCGGCGAGCTCCTTGAGGGAGAGCAGTAGCAGGGACCGGTTGTAGCACTGGCTGAACACGGTGAGGTTAAGGGTGTGGACCTGAAGGGGGGGCCGGTGAGGGGGTGGAGGGGGATAGAAGTTAGGCAACTACCGGGGTCTGAGGCGGTTGGACGGTTGGGGCGGTTGGGATGGTGAGCGCGAGCCAGGGCTGGGGGAAGATGTGGGAGGGCACACATGCGGTGGGAGAGTGGGGAAAAGACGAACCACACGCGATTGAAGCTGCTGCCAGGGCAAGATAGTAGCAAACGTAAAAACTGACCGAAAGGCGTCCGTGGCGACCGTGACCTCGGGATGACGAAGTGGAGAAGATGTCGGAAAAAAAAACTGTCGGAAAAAAAACTACGTACCTAAGCCGCCAGAACTAAAAAAGCGGAATAGTATTGCCAATCCGTAAAGAAGAGTGGAGAGTGGGAGAGTGGGGACACAATACACAGGGAACAGACACGGAGCACGGCTGTGGGGTCCCTGTCTGTGAGTGGGCTCCCTCCTCCGGCCCCACCTGCGGCAGGAGACTCGCCGCGCTGCGCATCAGGCCACATCCTCGAGCTGCTGACACCGTATTAGCTGCAGTAGCAGCAGCAGCAGCAGCAGCAGCGGTGACCTCCGCCTCCTCCTCCTCCTCATCATCATCATCCTCATCCTCGAGGCGGTTGCTGTTGCTGTTGTTGACATCATCCACCCTCAATGACAAATGGGAGACACCTGGGCGGAGGCGGTTGAGACGGTTTGATACAGTTGTGGAAGTTGCGGGTTGCGTGTGGGCCAAACAACCGGATGGGTTAATGTAGTTAATGTAGCGTGGGCTGAGGCCCCAGGCGAGGTGAGGCGAGGCAGATTAAGCAGGCAAGCGGACCAGGTGATATGGTTCCGGAGCTCACGAGGCCTTGCCAGCTGCACGGGGCTAGACGACGGAGGAGAAGAACCAGATAGCAATGGCCGCATCACCGCCACCATCACTCCCTCCTACGGGCCCTCAGCCTCTCCCTCTCTTCCCCCGGGCCCCCCCCCACACACACACCCGTCCCCTCTCACTTCGTGTCAATTGGCTCCTCCAGTGTTTGCATGTGAGAGCCGCTGCCAGTAGGTCCCTGGCCGCCAGGTGGGGGCCCAGGTGCGACAGCACATCACTGGAGAGACTGCCCCAGTCGGTTTGGGGCTCTATGGGGGTGGCGGCGAGCAGGTCAGGACGAGACTGCGGCAGCAGATCAGGAAACGGGAAGGGGAGGGAGAGGGTTTGTCTTACGTATGTATGTATGTATCCGTTCGCCACGACTTGTGCGATGTACTCCTGAATGTATGCATACATGTTGAGGCGCCGTTGATCCGCTAGATTTGGTTGGATGCTGGTGGTGAGTTGCTGAACCCAACGAATACATTCTGAAGTCGGATGGGGTGAATGGATTAGGGTGGCCCTCTCGCAGGGGAGAGCAGGGAACTGCCTCGGGAAAGGGGGCCGCTGGTGAAGATACACCCCCCTGTAACAACATACATACATACATGGCGTCATGGAGGTAGATAGCTGGATGGACGTATAAGCATAGATTAAGAGAAGGTAGCGCTGCTTTCTGGTGGGATGGCTTGTTAGTGATAATCTGCCCGGGGGAAGAGAGAGCAGGTCGAGCAACCGCGCGGCTAGCGCCCTCTGAAGCGGGGTGTCGTGAAGTGTTGTCGTGAAGTGGGCCGCGGCGCAGGAGAGGTAGGGCCGCGGGCGCGGGGACTTCTTGGAGTACAGCTACGCGGAGGGCTTAACATTCGTGCGTGCGTACCTTGGGTCGGCGCGGCAGGGGCGTCCCAGTGCGCAGCGCTTCATAGCGTCGCTGGGCGCGGTTCACGCAGCGCTTGTTGCAGCAAATGCGCGCCTGCGGTATCATGCCCGTTTGAGAGAATAACTTTCCGGTCGCATACATGCATCCTACATTTGAGCCAGGACTCACAGATTCCCACGCATTCGCGGCTGGAGGGACCCAGAGCACACCGGATTCTATCTCACATCCACATCCTGGGCATTCGTTGTTTGACATGAAAGTAAACCCTCTGTGCGTTGTTGACCTATAAATGGCTTTCGAGGTTGAGGACGTGCAAGGCCTGCTTCCCCGCCTTTGGCAGGACACCTTATGATATCAAGCTGCGACAACAAAATTTATATGTCGTGTCCAAGTACCATCCAAGGCCAACCGGCCAAGGAGGTCCTATTTGGGCCCTGGCCGTGATGAAGGTATGAAGAACACGAACCAGGCGAGCGTCGACGAGTTGAGGGAATACAAATTATGCATAATGCAAAAGACGGATAGGGATGCTCAGGTTTCTTCGCCGTTATCGCCCGAAGTTGCAATATCGACCGAACCAATCACATCCCAATCATTTCCATCACATGCACATTTCCTAACGTTAGATGTTATTTTACAGGCTACCAGTGCAAACGTATTAGGTTTGACTCAGGGTAATTAAATGGGCTGGCCATGCCTTACAGGTTACAGCATCTGGCTCGTGTTCGCCTTCCAACTGGATAGGGCTAATACGCTTTCCATATTCGGCAGATCATGCGCAATATGCTTTCGAAACTGTAAAAAACAAATTAATCCACGGAAAACGGCAACTGTCACCTAATCAACGGTATCCTGAAGAGTCCGCCCTGCCGCGGCTGCCGGCCGTCGCCAAGATCCCGCAGCATATCTTCTTTTCACATAAAATTTAGGACCCATACTCCATCCGTCGCTGCTGCAATTCTATCATTGGAAAAACGTTGTGTGTGGCGATGGTAAGGCACGTAACAATGTGCCCTAACATCGCCACACACAACAATTACCAAAACGTTTAGACGAAGGCACGTGGCAATGACCTGCTGCAACCATGGGCAAATGTTTGAGAATGCGCTGGGCTACCTGGCATCCATCTCCTCCTGGTATTGCGTATTGTCGCCATATTTGTCCCTAGGGACCAGTGCAGTCCAAATGTCGCGCAGCACAAAGGATACAACCCGGAAGCTGTTTCTTCTGTTGCATCTGTATGCCTGGTCATCTGTGTTCGTACGCCCGTACTGTGTCCTTTGCTAATTGTACCTCTCTCAGGAAGCTGGCCCTCTCTTAACAGGACCCTGCGGCTGGGGACACTAGGGCCTGTCCCAGTCAGAACTCCGCAGCTAACAATTCCGTACAGATGAAAGTTGACCAGCAGGCTTTTCAGGCATCTCGTTTCTTATGGGCTTGCGGAGAGGTGACCACCTCAAGCTCCAACGTGCCCACATTCTGGCAGCGACCATGCATACACACAGCTTGGTGAAGCCCAATACTATTACATGGTTTGGCGGAAACATCAAAGCTGAGTAAAAACACAGGCAAAGCAACCGAACATTAAGACCGCAATTTGCTGGCCAGGTAACATCCAATTTCCCTGTGAACGCAGCAAAGCCATATCCACACAGCACAGGCGAGGGAACGGCGACCAGAACTCGGGGCCGCCAACACGCCTCCGTAGCTCTATAATACATAAGCGCATATACATCTAAGCGAATTTTGGGTCACATCCCGGAAGCTTAGTATCAGTACACGAAAAGCCAGATGTTTGTACACCTTCCCTGGTCGCAACCCTGCAAACTGTGAATAAACTTTGCCCGGCCTCGGACAAACCGAATGGACCCAAATTGTGGGTCAAATCCCCTTATACAACCTGCGTCAGTTGGGAGACTAGCTAGTGCCGCAAGTATAGAGCACTACCAGTTCCTTAATGGCAGCACAGGGTCGCGCTTTGTCAGGATACCATAAGCATGGACCAACGCCAACATAAGCGCTGGCCAACTCACCGCCAGCAGGGGGAATTTGAACTTGAAAAATTGCCATTGTTGGTCTCCCCCCATATTTGAGTCTCCAAACCGTGTCTATAACAGTGCCGTCCGTCTAAGCAGCCTGTACATTGAGTCACCGGGACACGCTGGCCCCACATCGAATCAGTATCATAGCTGTTGTTCCAAGAGCGAAAGAACATGAGCCCAAGGCGCAGCAGGCTTCACAGCTTGGCGTGGGGCATCATTCCCCGGCGCGTCACTACGGCCTCGATGTTGCCATGAGGCTCGCTTGTGGCGACATACACGTCGTTGTTGAATTTGGAGCCTACCGGATTGACAGGGATGAAATGCAGGTTGGGCATGTTCAGGAACACCGACTCGGCTTGGGGCACGCGGTCCAGCAAGTTCTTGGCCATGTTGTACAGCGTGTACTGCACGCTAGGGCTGTACACGCCACTCTTGGCCGGGCCCAGGAATGCGTCTAGCAGCCCGCTCTTGGCAGCCGAGAAGGCGGCATCATAGCAGGATGGCTGGGTGGTGTACTTCCAAGTGCAGGTCACGGTAGAGGCCATGATGCGGTCGTTGACCTCCGGCAACACCGTGTACTCGTCGCGCAAGAAGCCTTCGTAGCCCGACTGGGTAGTCTTAAGTAGGCTCAGCTCCTTAAGGCCTATCATGCAGGTGGAAAGCCACGAAAGTCGCAAAAGTTGGCGTTTGTGAGTGACATGACAACTTTAATGCACATTGCGCGCACAGTATGACAAAAGGGTGTGTTATCGGAAGCGCCCCCGACCGCAGGGCCGAAAGAGAGAAACATCCAGGTAAAAGCCATTCGAAAGCAGGAAAGGAGGTCTTGACTGGCTGGCTGGCAAAGAGCCCGCAGGCCTACCCTACAGCTCAGACGGGTACGACATCATAAAAACCGTTCAGCGGGACCCACCAGCAGTTACGTCCAGCTTGCCAGCCTTGTCATAAGTGACATACACCGTCCGCATCTCGGTGCCGGCAAGTGCGTAACCTGCGGGATGGAAGGAAATCAGTCATTTTCCCGCTGGAGCTCCCGAGCATATTCTTTTCCCCTTTCTCGAAAACTGCGTCCTGCAAAGAATCCACAAAGCATACCAGAGCGGAAACTCATGAAGCGCAGCAGCATCGATCCCAGTGCCCTCACCATGATCGTGCGGCAGGCCACCAATTTGCATGCGGTTCCAGGGCTTCTGCTCAACGTAAATCTTGGCCTTGCTCACCTGAAAGTAATATAAGCGGCACCGCTAATCGCGCGAATTCGGCACAAGTGTCAAACGCAAACCTTACCAGCGGGTAGGTGCGCACGAAGTGCTGTGCCAGGGCTATGGCAAACTGCTCCACGGTGCATTTCTGGGACATACGCTGCGCCACGACGTATACCTAAGGTGGAGCAGTTTAAAAATTCGGTAGAGGTTTCTGGCAAACCAGCAACAATGCCTCGTCGGTCGCCTTACCGTATTTTTTTGGGTGTCCGTTGCCGTCATGCCAGTGTTCTCGCCCTTGACGAAGGCATGCTCCATATCGGACTCGATCATGGTGTCAACATTCCACTCAACCATGTGGTGGATATTGCCATCGCGCCAGACGCGACCAAGGCGGACCTTGCTCTTTCCATGTTGGTGCAAAGGCAACGCGTAAGCCATTTCCTTTTCGCTTCCAGGCGAGTAACGTAAGTCTGCCTCACAAAAGGCCAAGCAAACACCGCGATGGAAATTAACTTAGCATGTGGCGCACATGCTTTTGTCTTTGCACGACTGTCACGACTGTACTTTGTCGCTTTTGACCGTTTACGTTATGTTTCTATACTTGCTGCCAGCCATGAAAACCTTTATCAAACGTTCTCAGCAAATTCCTGCTTTTCTGCATGGACGACCAGGAACGGATCCTGCAACCAGTCCCGGTCCTAGCTGTTCTCCGCTCGCTGCCGCTGGACATTTTGCGTGACAGCTTCTGGAATGTACTCCCGCCTGAATCTCGCATTGCATTTCGTCAGGCATGCCGCTCCCTGGACGCGTGGGTCCGACACGATTTGAAAACCACAACCGCCGTGGTATTCAACCACCATTACCTTGAGTCACTGGGCAGAACAGGCCAGAGCCTTGCAAAACACTTCCAGGGTTTGCAGTTTCTCACAATTCGCCAGGCGTCCGCCGGGCGCAAGCCACTTCCTCCCGAGGTTGTCTGCACATGTTTGGAGCTGCTGCGCCATGGAAGTGGCCCTCGCACAGGCGACCCACATCCGGCCGGCCTCAGCTTCCGCTTTGTACGCAAGTTGGCACTGCGTGACTGGCCGTCCGTGACCTCGAGTGAGCTGGCGCTCCTTGCAGACGCCTTTCCCACCCTGGAGCATCTGGCGGTGACCTGCCGGTGCGTCCCCTGTTGGCACAGGGCCTCCTGAAGCCTGAACTATCTTGTTTCCCAACAGGCACAAATGTATGCTAGGCATGTCAGGTATTCGGAATGAAGAGGGGCGGACTGATGGAAAAGAATGAAGGCGCACGGCGATGTGGGTCATGCACACGGGAACAGTTCTTGATTTGGAATATGGTGTCGATGCCGAGGAGCATTTGGACGATTGCACTGCTGCATTCCTGACAGTGCAGGAGGAATGGTGGCCCCTCCTCCTCCGTACAGCTGGTGTCGACGAAAGGCAAAGAGAGAAGCAGCGCCATGGTGTCCAGGACATCAAGGCCCGGGAATCAAATGTCTAGTGTCGGCTTCTTCTTCCGTTGTGTAGGGGCCCCGCCGGAGGCATGGCCAGGTAGCTGAGGCCCGACCTGTAGCTATAGCCACCATCGAAGCGGAGGCTCCCTACAGCCATACCAACATGACCCACATAGGTGGACCTAAGGCCCTGCAGTCACTGAGAGGGTCAATCCAGGCTCTCTGCCCACCTTCTCGCACAGGGGTTACCGTTTTCATTTCCGCATATCGTTATCGGGGCCTGTTTAAGCGCCTCAGGCCCAGTCGCAACGCACACCCGTATCATCATGGCCCGTTGCTCAGGGCCATTAGGAAACATGTATGAGGAGCGCGCCAATACTTGGTCCGGGGGCGAAAAGGATGTGGATTAGGTACAGCCAAAGCTTCACGTCGTCTGCAGGCCGCTAACTTATCCCGTGCCATAATGTACACACTGGATGCCCCGCACCTGCGCTCGGCGCCTAGCTGCACACATGCAAGGCGCAACGGCAGGCGGGAGTCTGTTCGTTACCGCAGAGCGATCGTGCCAGCCCAGCCCATCCTCCAGCCGAAGAACGAACATACCAGGAAAGCATGACGGGCGGGCACTGCTTGTACAGCGATGCTGTACTACGGCGATTGCTATCCTACACCTGTATCCATCATCCTGCATCTGCAAGCTGGCCCCCTCCTAGGGTTCCCTGCAGAACCGCCAAACGCTTCATACTACCAGCTGAACGTTTGCACGCAGCCTCCTTCGGCACACCCCACACCCCCTGCCGAATCCACGTGCAGCCTATGCGTGCATGCACTGGAAGCAATAGTTCTGAAATCCGACACCCAAATAGAGCTCGTGGCCCTGGATGCCACCGGACACCTCTTCCCTTTTTTTGCGGTGAGTGCTGCGACATGGTGGGCATGTGTGGAGATGGACGAGGGGATGAGGGAAGAGGTGTCCACACATGCCCACCATGTCGCAGCACTCATCGCATCCACCGACTGACGTGTCCCCTGCGGCTATTTCAACCGACCCAGATCCTCCTCCCTGGCTTTCCCTCCGCAGGACGCGCTCCTTCCCACATCATTACGATTTGCCCGTCGATCTGCTACCCGCCCTGACAACTCTCTTCCCATGCCTGAGCAGCCTGGAGTTACGCGGACTGAGCCTCCTGCAGCTCCTATCAAGCCTGCCGCAGCCGAAGCAGCATCACCAGGGTCCGCTGCCGTCACCACCGCCTCCAAAGCAGCGATTGCCGGTTGCTGCATGCTCTGCAGCGGCAGCGGAGCCAGGACCTGAGTCGGAGGCGGACGGCGCGTGCGGCCGGTATCGGAGCTTCTCTTGCGGCGGCTCGGGACTTGCGGTGCACACGTCGTGCACCTCCGGCTGCGGCTCCACAGCCGCTACCGGTCCGGCTGTGGGAACTAGCCAGGAAGGCGCTCTCGCGGCATCACACACACCCGAGAGCTACGCCCTCCAACAGCAACCACAACTCGCCCCAGTCCCGCGCGGGCCAAGACAAATAAGTAGCACCGCAACCCTGGCCGCTGCGGCCCCTGTCAACGGCGATGGCCGTGATCACGAAGACACGTTCGCGGTCCGTCGCCAGATGTTCACAGATGCCGGAACGTCTACAGTGAAACAAGGAGCAGCAGTTGCGGAAGCCGCCTCTACCGCCGCTGCTGGCTGCAGCAGAGGTGGATGTGACCGCAGCGAGCAGTGCGGTGGTCTCCAGGTTCTGGGCCGCCTGACGCGTCTGTCCAGCCTGGCGCTGGGTACCTTGGACCCGCCGCCGCAGCTGCTCACTGACATGGGTCTGGCATTAGGACGGCAGCTACGGGTGCTGGAGCTGGACGTGTGGCTGGTGATGACACCGCCATCGGAGCTGCGTTGTGTGGCAGTGGCGGTGGGCCGGGCAGTGTCCCTCCTGGAGGTCTTGCGGGAGCTGCAGCTGCGGCTCATGTGCTGTGTGGAGGAGGAGGAGGAGGAGGAGGAGGGCGGTAGCGGCTATCCCTGTGACAGCGGGAAAGAGGGGGAGGGAAGAAGTGGTGATGATGGTGGTGATGGTGATGGTGATGGTGATGTTCCGGAGGGGGAGGAAGCGGTGGGGGGCTTAGGTGGGCGGGCGGCGGCCGGATCAGTTCATGAGGGCGGGCCGAGGGGCCGGGGAGGGGAAGGCAGCTTGCTGGCGGCGCTGGTGCGGCCGGTGGTTGCCGCAGCGGTGCAGCGGCAGCGGCAGGGACAGCGGCTGCAGGGACAGCGGTGGCGGCGGCCGCCCGGTGGTGCACATGACTGGGCTCGCTGTACTGGTGGTATTGGTAGTCCTGGAGGCGCTGATGCGGGGCCCCAGGTGGTGCGGCTGCCAGGTCACGAGCTCAAGGCCGGGGAGTGGCGCTTGTTAAGGAGGCTGCCGTCGCTTGCTCGCTTGGAGGTTGGCGGGCTGGCGGGGGGCCTGGGGGATGTGGTGGCGCACGGGGATGCTGTGGTGGTTGTGGCGGCCGGGGGGGAGTCGGCGGGGAGGGGGGCGCCATCATCATCGAGTTCAGTGGGGCGCTGATTCCTAAGGGGGGGAAAGGGAGATCTCGGGTGTTCTGAGAGGAGAGGCTCGAAAGCATCTAGCTGCTGCGGGGTGGAGTGGGCGGGGATGATGCAGTGATTCTGTGGTGGTGGTCAGGGCTTCTGGAGGATTCGTTTGGAAGGAGATAGCGCTGCCTTTCCGGGGCTTCATTGGGGGTGGGTGAGGGTGTTTCTGTATGTGATTTGATGCAGGGGTTGTTTCCAGGTTGCAGCAAGATGAACACTCGCGGAGTGGCTGCGCATACGACTGACGTGGAGGCGACCGTATCGGATATGTTTTTTAGTCAGTCCAAGAAGTGCCACAGTGCTTCTTCCTGTGCTGCACTATATGCCATACGCCAGGACAGACGAGCTGGCGAGTTGCCGGAGGCTCATGGAACAAGCGATTGTTGTAAAGGGCAAAAGGGAACTGGAAATGGGAATTCAATTGTAATAGGTTCAAAGGTTTTGTGCTTGCATTTGTGTCTCAATGCCTGAAAGATCTATATATAGTTACCTGGATACAGGTAGCGTGTCGGTGGTTGGCAGTTGCAACCGGTATCGGGGCCTACCTTTAGGGTTCAGGCAGCCGGTCTAAGCTTTCCGTCTTCAACAATTCATCCGAAATAAAGTAGATATCCTGTAGGATGGATATCGACTTTACATCGCATTTACTTACAACTCGAAGCTAAAGTAGTACTTTCCTTTCTTCGGGTTTCCAATTTCCCACTGTAAAACATCGGTGTAGCAGGCCAGCGTTCCCGAGCACAAATCGAATCTCGCATTAAGCTCTGCGAGACTATCTACTATCTTTGTCTGTACACGGAACAGGGTGGAATGGCCGCCGGCGGCCGGAAGCAGATCGATGTGCTTAAGTCGGCAGTCGGCAAGCTTGCTGGGCGCTTTGAGGCGGAGAACTCAACCCCATTTTTCGAGGCAGCTGCTTCGCTGGCGAGGGATGGGGTGAGGGATGGCGTTTGTTCGGTACCTCAGTCGTCGTGCTGTTGGGAGCCCATCAACCTTTCGGGAGCGGGCCCAGTCCACCACCGCCATAAGACCTCACAGTTGCGACCCACGTCACTTGCCATATATGTAAACGGGGCTGTGGGGTGACGCATCGCACCTCCCCACCCACCCACCTGCATCCCCGGCCCCTCACATTTCCCCCCAACTTCCAACCCCCTCCAAACTCATCCCCTGACCGCTCCCCGCGCCGGACCCTGTCATCCCATTAGCTGCCCATTAGCTGTCCCCCCAGCCCCTTCACCCGGGTCAGTCCCCCCCGAAAACCTCCCCCCAACCTGTCCACATCCCTTATGAGCTCCTCCCACGTTCCATACCTGTTCCGTACATCCTGCCGTACATCCATGCTGTACCGTCTCGTCCATCTGGCACCATCGCATCTGCTCCGGGCCCCCTGACATGCTGACAACCAGCCCCCAGTGGGTCCTCTTACACCGACACGCCGCTTTGTCCCACGACGTCCTTTGACACAATACGACGCACAGGTGTGCTCCCGGTGCCTTCTGCGTGTTGCGGGCCACATGGGCATGGAGGACTACACCCTGACTGCGCCGTCACAGGGTGAAATCATCTTCGCGCTATCCCCTCACGATGCGGCCAATGCCGCCGTCGCTGCTGCTGCTGCTGCTGCTGCTGGAAGTAGTGATGTTGATGGTGGGGAAGGAGGTCCTTTTCCCCCAGAGGAGGCGACGACGGCGGCGGGGCTCCCGCTCTGCCCTACTTGCTTCGGACTGCTGCCGGCGCTCCTAGATAAGCAGAGACCAGCACTGCCGACCCATGGGACGGCTGCGGATGGAAACCAACGTACCGCCGTGTCGGCCAGCGGAGATGCAGCGGCCGCGAACGCGACGGCGGCGGCGGCGACAGCGGCGGCGGCGACGGCGGCGGGTACGGCGGGTACGGCCACCGGGGGCGTGGACCTGGCTTGGCTCCGAGTCCAAAAGGCCGTCTCTGACGCCACCGGCTGCCGCGCGGGTCCGGCAGCCAATCATGAGCGACTGCAGGACTGGCCCTCCATCGCGGATATTGCGGATGCCGTCCGACGACAGGCGGAGGTCGGCCCGCCGGACAGCATCGCGCTGGCGGCAGCGACCGCAGCGGCAGTACCAGCCGCTCCGCCGCCGCCGCCGTCAGCCGCTGACAGCGGCGACGTCGCCATGGCGGAGGCGGCATCGGCCGCCAAGCCAACGACTGCATCGGCGACGTCGGAGGTGGTCGTTGGTCCACCATTGCAGCTGAAATCTTTTAGCTTGGAAATAAACACCGTGCCGGCGGCAACTGCCGTACGCGACGTCTCCCTGCACGCCTGGCTGATATCTTTCTGTGAGTCCCGCGGTGTCCGCTGTCCCGCCTGGCGGCCCACGGATATCGTGTCGCTGCCGACAGTGCTCAGGTGGGTCGTACATCCCCCCTTCCCGGGGGTGGGGCCGGGGTAGAGGGGTTGCCAGGGGGTGGGGTGGGCCCCGGGGGAGCTCCTGGATACATCCTCATTGCTGCAGCTGCTGTTGGTTTCCAAGGGTGCTGCCAGGAGTGCATCGCGGGGTAGCATCGCATCTGGGCCTCACAGCCTTCCACTGCCCAACCACCCCGCCTGCCTTTCCCACGCACCTTCCCCCGGCAACTCTCCCACCCGAGCCCCACCGCCCCCTCGCCGCCCCCTCTTCCTCGCCACCTGCCTCCCGGCCCCCTTCCTAGGCGGGTAGTGCCCCTGTGTTTGTCCCGGCAGCTAGGTGTCCCCGCCGCCGGTCACCAGTCCGCCGCCGTGTGCGTGTCGGTGGCGATACTGGACGGGGGGGAGGGGCTGCAGGAGCTCAGGGTAAGGGGGGAAGGGGGGAGGGGTTTTCCGTGGGTTGTAGAGGGTATTGACAGGAGGTGATGAAGGTTGAGCGGACTTTGAGGGCATTAGGAGTGGGGATGGGACGGCGTGTGTGTATGTGTGTACAGGGGGGAGAGAGTCCCGTCTGGTGGCGGGGGGGAATGTCCGGAGTGGTTAGTTGGTTGCAGGTGGTTAGTTGCGAGAGCGGTTGGTGTGTGGTGGGAGTTTGGCTGCTCGTCCGGCTGCTGTTGTTCCTCCTCCTGCTCCTCCACAAAGGGGCGGTAGGTCGGCAAACGCGCTGTCGGTTAACGGATTGCGTCAATGACTGACTTTAACTGACTCCCAACCCAACACCCGGGGAAGGGTGGTCCCTAGGCCCCTACCTCTCATAACTCAGCCGCCCTTCCGGCCCCCAACACACGTCTTGTACACTCTTTCCCTGGCAGCAGCTTCACTCGTCCGTGGTTCGTCTTCCCCCCAACTCCCTCACACACACACACACACACACACCTGCATGTACGCGCCGGCCCGCAGGTTCTCGCCGAGCAGCAAGGCGGAGGCGGTCGCCGTCAACAGCAACACCACTTCCAGCACTACCGCCAGAACAAGCGACAGCGGGGGCCGCAGGGCAGGCAGCAGCAGCAGCAGCTGGGGCCAGAGCAGGATGCCGCGGAGGGCGAAGGCGAGGGGGGCCTGCAGGGCAAGGTGCGATTTCTCCTCGGGTACCGCGGTTAGCTGGGCTCCAACGGAGGGGGCGAAAGCGGGGGTTAGTTGGGCACCCAGGGTCACTGGCTGGCCCAGCCTTGGCTCCACAGCGCTGTGCTGTGCTGCACCGGCCACATCATGATCCCTACCGCAGCTGTGTTCCCTCCTCACCCCCTTCACCCTCCCCACCCGCCCCTGGCAGGCATTTGACGAGCGCAACCAGCTCATGTCGTTCGAGCAGGCCTCCACTGCCGCATGCAGCACCCCCCGCCATGTGCTGGCGAGGCTCTTTCCCTGGCCGCCGCTGCCGGCGGACAAACGCAGGGAGCTGCAGCAGCAGCAACAGAAGCAGCAGCCGCACTACCAGCAACAGCAGAGGTACCGCCACGGCCGACCGGTACACTCGCCCAGGGCGGCGGCGGCGGCGGCGGCCCCAGCTGACAACAAGGCCACGGAGCCGGCGGCGGCGGCGGCGGCTCCTCCTCGGGTCTTTGTACGGGCGGTGCATGCGCCCATACTTTTGGCGGGCAGGTAAATTGGGTAAATCGTTGCGTTTTATAACCGCATGTCTCACCGCACCGCACCTTAGCGGTTGCAGTTCCCACTGTATGTATCCAGTTTCTCCCCCCACACACACCCCACACCCCCTCACGCTCACAAGCGCCACGACACCCCCCGACAGCACCCAGACGTCGCAGTACCACAAGCAGCGGCGGTGCGACCCCAGCAGACTGCGGCCGCGTCCCCGCCTAGCTGGGGGCGGGGGGGCGCCTAGGGGACTCAGTTCCGAAAGACAGGGTCTTCCTCACCTCTCATGCCCCCCTCAAGGAGTAGCAGGGGGTGCAGAGTGCGGGTACAGACATGTCAATGTTGTGTGGTCGTGGTGGTGGTGCCGCACCGCTGTTGGGGGGAGATGTCATCACTTCTTGCCGTACAAATTCCGTACAGGGGTCAAAAATTGACAGCTCCTTCCGAGCCTGGGAACCCCGGGCAGCATCCCGGGCGGCGTTCCTCACTTCAACAAAGTTATTTGCAACGATCCGTATATAAATTTAAGTGACGTACAACATTGTGACATGTGGTAAAATACGTGGTCGTACGTCATACATTTGCAGGTACTGCAAGCTCCGGCGGCACATGCCGCAGTGCCCGTGGTTTGTCCTGTCAACGGGGGCACGTATCGCTGGTGTCAGCGTGCAGGAGGTTATTGAGCAGTTCGTACTGCCGGTGTACGGCACGTGTACGGCAAAGATGATTACTGGCGGGCGTGAAGACGCGGACGTACGAATGCTGGGTCCTGGCCGGCCCTTCGTCCTCGAACTGCAGGTAGGCACATATACGTATTCCGATGTACGGCAGGCGCTTCATGCCTTTTTTGTATTTTCAAACGCATTAAATACATACATACATGCATGGAGGCCAAGCGTTTGGCAATTCACATTTATCCAGCGAGTTGGAGTCCGTTAGTTTGGTGTGGCATATCACACGGCGTGGCATCGTGTCACTGTGCGTACCGAGCGAACCCCTACGGATGGTGTTGGTTCCCCTGCGGGTCCCCCTGAAGGGCCTTATGGGGCCTCCCCCGTAGGGCCCACACACCGCACCCCGCGCCCCTCCTCACCTCCTATGCCATCCTGCGCCACCTTTCCTTTTATATATCTTCTTTCTTCCCCTTTCACCTACTACTTTCTTTTTTGTCCTCGGCCAGCCAGTCAAAAGTTTTTGCAGCGGCACTCGCATGTATTGTTGTTTTTTTATCGCACCCCTGCTCACTACCTTGCTACCCTCTGCCGCGCATGTGCCTTTGCCCGCTGCTTCTGCTGCCTGGCCGCCGCCAGGTGAGTCCGAAGGAGGTTCGAGAGCTTTGTCGGTATATCGCGTTGCGTCGGTCGGCTAGCCGGACTAGGATAGTCGGGTCGGTCGCGTGTTGGGGTTTGGGAGGAGCACTTGCATACCACCAGCTTTTTATTACCAGCTAATCAGCCAGTTCTTCGCCAAACCTCGTCAATGCCGCCGCCAGGCCGGCGGCAAACTTTATTCCAGCTTCAGGTCAGCAGTTTTTGTACTACCTTTCCGCCGCCTCTACACCTACCTTTTTTACGGCTTGGCATTACTGCTTTTCTTCCGCGCTTGTTTAGTCCTGGCGGCTAGGTAGGTAGGTAGTTGTCCGACTTCTTCTTCACTACATCATCCCGAGGTCGCCGCCTTCAAGAACGCCTACTGGTCACAGTTCTACGTCTGGTACACTCTTGCCCTGGCAGCAGCTTCACTAGTTCGTGGTTCGTCTTTCCCTCCTCACCCTGCACACCTGACCCACCCGTTCCTTCCCAGCTGCCATCCTTTGTCGCCCCTCGCCAACGTGTATGTGGGGGGGTTGGCCGCCCTTATCCGGTGTGTCCCCTTACGTCACCGGCCCCTCCCCCCGCCCCTCCTCCCCCCGCCCTGGCTGTCCTCAGGCCCCTCTGCGGGGCCATCCGCCCGTATCGGAGCTTCGGCGGCTGGAGGCGCGGATGAGGGACAGCAAGTGGTGAGGGGACAGCAGAGGTGGGAGGGAGGGAGATATGACGAGGGCGGTATCGGCGTGGTGGTGCGGATGGTAAGCTACTGCTGCTCGTCCTCGTCCTCGTCCTCGTCCTTGTCCTTGTCCTGTATAGCCGGTGCTGATTTATTGGCCTCAGTTGTGTTCGGTCGCTAATGGAGTGCTACAAATCCTGTTTAGTCGTGGTGGTGCTGCAGTCGGGGCAGCCATCTACTCCTCGCCTGGCTACCAACCCGCCACATCCCTGGGGGGCCGGGGAGAAGCACCCACCACTGCCACTACCACGACCACTCTGTGACACGGGCCGTTCCCGCCCATAGTCGGGTCCATCGACGTTCTGGTCACTTTGGGTTTTTCTTTCTCCCGTGTCCCCCTTTCCCCCCTGGTCCCCTGTCCCCGCACCCCGGGGCTTCCCCCCTTCGCCCCCAGCGGTGTTACTGTCCAGGGCCTTACGCCGTGTGGGCCCGCCGCCCTGGAGTCCATCAAGGCGGCTGAGGAGCTGAAGGAGAAGAGCTATCGGGCCCTATGTTGGGCTGAGAGGGCGCCCTCCCTGGAGGACCTGGAGGCCCTCAAGGCGCTGGGGAGGGTGGAGGCGGCCCAGGACACCCCCGTACGCGTGCTGCACAGGCGGGCGGCCAAGGTGGGGGGTCGGGAGGGGGGAGGAAGGGAGAGGGGGGAGGAAGGGGGGGCTTGCAGGTGTAGCTTCTCGACGGTGGACGTGCCGCAGCGTGGTGAGTGGGCGCTTCTCGGCTGGTGGGGGGGAGGGGGAGGAGGGGGAGCGCGTGGGGGTTTTTGGTGTGCCGCACGTACGTAGGTAGGGTGGAAGCCGGGATCAGCCGTACTGCACTGAGTGGTACGGCGAGCACAAAGCTTCCATGTCCTGCGCGGCCCAGCCCGTTTTCGCCGAGGCCGTTTTCCCCGCCCATCGTACGGCATTTCTGGATCCAGGTTCGGCCCAAGTGGTTCCAAGTGGAGCTAGCCATTCCCGTATCTGGGCGGCCGAACTATTTTGTGCTGGAGTTCAGGACGCAGGTGTGTGGGTTGGTTGGTGTGTGTTGAGGAGGTTGGGGGTGCGGGGCTGCGGGAGGTCTGAGGGGGGGTAACCTGATGCGAACAGGGGGGGATATCCTCTTGCCGTTTTTGCGTCCGTTCGTCCGTTTCATGGGGCACTGGGCACTGGAATGGGAAGGGGGGGCTTGGTTGCGCATACGCCGGTTGCCCTGCGCCCGCCCGTGCATTATGTGTTTTGGGCCGTGCATGTGAGGGCGGTTGTAGCTCCCTTCTCGTCACTTCTTTTCCAGCCGCAGACTTGCGGTCCTCTCTGAGTTCCTAATCTCAACGCACCCGTATAACTAACTAACTAACATGCATACATACTTTATACATGCATGCATGTACGTACGTACGTATGTACGTACACATGTACATGTATGTACCTGTTTTCACACCCACACACCCACACACACCCATCAGGCGGGCGCCTATGTAAAGGAGTTTTGCCATGGAGACTTTGGTCGCTGCCGGCCCAGCATCGGGGACCTGCTGGGATACATCCAGACCAGACGAGAGGCCGCCGCCGCCGCCGCCGCCGCTACTGCTACTGCTGCTGCTACGACTGATACTAATACTGGTGCTACTACGGCTGCTTCAGCTGTCCACACCAGTGCTGCCAACACCGACGCCGCCGACGTTGACGAGGTGATCGACAAGACCGGTCAGCCGGCATCGCCGTCGGGGGCGTCAACATCCCCGCTGTCGGCATCACCGTCGATTTCGCCGTCAGCGTCACCGCCGCCGCCGGTTGACGGCGCCGCCGACGGCACTGCCAAGCGCAAGTTCAACCCCAAGCCGCGACCACGTCCGCCCAACAAACCCGACTCTAAGCCCGAGCTGAAGTCCAGCCCCAAGCCCAACACCACCTCCGGCCCCGCCCCGGTGCCAGTCCTGACTGCCGACATGCTGGACAGCGGCTCCTTCGTCCGCGTGGAGATTGTTCAGCTCGATGTGATTGATGTGCACCTGGACAAGTGGCCTTAGGGCCCGCGAGGTCACCGGGGGGTGGGCTGTGCTGGGCGGCTGCCATGGAGGGGGCGGGTCGGGAAGGGGGGGATCGGAAGAATAGCGGAGGTACCCTGGATGGGTGAGCGGGGTAGGACTGGACATGGCGCTGGACATGGCGCAGACAGATAGACAGACACGCATACAGGAGAACAGTCCAGGCAGAGATACGGGTAGGGGAGGGCAGGGGAGGGCAGGCCGACGAAGGAAAGCGCATATGTGTGTATATGTGCATGTGGCAGCTGTGGCAGCAAACGCAGTGGTGATGCTGGTAGTCGTGGTGTTCTCGATGCAGGTGGTGCGCAGGCAGACAGGTCTTGGCGGTACTGCTGGGTGGTGCTGGCGAGGTTCAGGTCGGGATATGGGGGTACGCTCCAGGGGCCCAGGCCGCCACACGCGGGGGGGGGGGGGGGCCGGTACCTGAGCAAGCCGTAAGCCCCATGCCCTGCTGCTCAGTCCCTAGCCCCCAACACCCCACAGCGGGCCCCCGTACAGCCTGCAGGAATTTTATAACCTTGATTAGCTAACCGGGTGCCTATCGATATCATCTTGGCTAAGATGTGCTTGCTGCAGATGTTCGAGGGTCACGATACCGATGATCTCGGTATCTCGGCTGGCAGCCGGAAAGGCCTCTCAGCATGCTGCGAGGTGGCCGTGAGCAGGCGAAAAGCGCAATCGAGGTACATGCGTATTGGCTGCAGCTCGAATTACGAGCAAGGCGGCCCCGGGTGGTGGCAGAAGCGACACGGTAATGCCGGAGCAGCCGCCGGTACAGCCTTCTTGAACAAGGAAGCTGGAGGCCGCAACACACAACACCTAACGTGCCTATTTGTAGCAGCTGCTCAATCGCAATTAGTACAATGTTACAAACGTGTCTAAAGTCCAAGTCGAGGTTCAGGGCCCGAAGTAAAAAAAGTATTCAGCAAGTAAAAGGGAAAGTCAAGCACTGCATCAAGGCTCCGAATCGCGCGGAGTGAAGTGCACATAGGGAAGCCACACGCTACGAGTATGTAGGCTTACCCAACAGAGGAACAGTCAGTTCTTCATCTTCGTCAGCAACGGGCAGCTCTGGGTGACCGAGCAACGTCACAGGATATTGGCCTGAAATCCTGCCCTAACTTCAATGCAGATAAAGTTCTTGCTGCGGAGTCCCAAAAGGTAAGTGGAAATTTGGGAGTGTCTTGTTGAAGAGCTGTCAGTATCTTACATTGTGGCACTTGGGGTTCATACTGTGTCGCCATGGCATGCTTCTACGCTTAGTTAACCTCTTTGGGGGCGAATAGCATGCATGCTGCACCTCAACTACTACACCTCAAGTGCAATCACTTTTATGTGCGGGTAAGTTGGTACAATTCTGATGATATGACATCGCTTGCCGCTGGGGCCGCTCATACACAAAGTGGCTGGCAGAGCAGGGTCCAGGCATGCTCTGCTTGGGCACTTTTGCATGTGACTGTGTCATCATGAACCAGCCTCTCTAAAGGCGTCCTCCTGTAAATTTACGTAGATAGCATGGTTACGTAAATAACATGGTTTTTATATTTACGTAAATAGCATGGTTTTTGCCCTCCATAGCTATATTCATGCTGGAAGTTGTTCCTCACCAGGGAATGTTGAGGTTTGCTGGGCTGACATGGATTTTACCATGTGAGATGTGCCAAGTCATGGATACGGCCGGCGTTGTCTGGATCCATCCAAAAATCCATGGAGCGGCCCAGCGGGTCCGAGCGCCCATGAGAGTTCATGCAAACTTGTCGACATAACCAGCATTTTCCCAATGATGATGCAAAGCTTCCGGACTATGAATAACGTCTGCTTACAGGCTCAGCCCAATCAGTTGCTGTGTACGAAGTTGTAGCCAAAACGCGCAGGCTGCATAGAGAGACAATAAACTCACAACCTAGCGCATTCGCTGCTGGTCTAACCTGTACATTCCTACGACCTATTTAATATGGGTTTCATTCGCAGCCTGCTCATTAGATTGGGACTTGTTAAGGTATGCATCGTTGTCCTCATAAAATCTTCGTTTGTTGATATAGGTGGATAAACTTTATGTATCTGTGAATTGGAAACACTGCAGACAAAGGTCGGGTTATTAATTGTGGGGCTGAGCAACAGCGGCAAGTCTACAATTGTTGCTCGGCTCACAAATGAATCCGTAGAGGAAGTTGCACCGACGGTCGGGTTTGCTGTGGAATCCGTCAAACTGGACGGTCTGTCCGTCACCATCTTCGACATGTCGGGTACGTGCCGCTCCAAACATATACATTCCTTACAACATCAAATCAACAGCCAGAAGCTCATAACCAGTCATAATCAAATGTCATCTTGGCACTGCAGGTAACAACCGTTATCATGAGTTGTGGAAGTTGTACTACAAGGAAACAACGGTAATGAGCCGCGGTAAAGCGCCAGCCTGCAGCATTTCTACGGGGCCCCTCTCACCCTGAGGACCCCGAAGATGCACATTTCCCTTTACCCGTGAACTGATTATCACCTGCACTTCATGGAAGCCCTCAAGAGCGTAACTGAGTCGAGCCCTGGCTTCCATCCATCCGCTCATCCACCCGTCCTACTCTAATGCTCCCTGCCCCCGTCTGGTCACTGCCCTCCAAGCTGCCGCACGGCGCCCTCTGTCCCGCTCCGCCTGCAAGGCTGTCGTCTTTGTGCTGGATGCCGCTGATACGGCCCGCTTCCCGGAGGCCGACGCAGTGCTGCAGGAGCTGCTGAAAGCCGACCTCCTCAAGGCAGGTGCCCGTGCCCGAGCTAAGAGGCGACCAGCGTCACAGCGAACCGGTGGCGCCGTCGGTGATGTCCATGTCGCTGGTGTTGTGAATGAGCATGTAGAGGGACTGGGGAGGCCTCCCGCCCACTCAGAGCTCCCTAGTGGCGGTGCTTAGGCCAGTGCTGCATGACGTCAGCGCTGATGTAAAGGGTTAGGACGGGCCGGCGGACCGGGTTCTGTGGTGGTTGGGAGCGCGGGTGGGCCATCGCTGATACGGGCGGGCGGCCGGACGGGTGCGTATCGCGAACCCATATCGCTTTTCTCTCCACTGCTGTCCTGATTGCCGCCGCTACTGCCGCCACTTCTGTGGCTGCTGCTGCTGCTGCTGCTGCAGAACGTCCCGATTTTGTTCTTTTGCAACAAGATGGATTTGGAGACGGCCGCAAAGCCTGCGGAGGTGGCGGCGGCGCTGCACCTGCCGTACCGCTCCTTCCGGACCTTCCAGCTACAGGGCTGCAGTGCCCTGCGGGGGCGAGGGGATCCAGGTGGGCTAGGAGCCCCCGTGGGGGCGGGGACGGGAGGAGATAACCTAGCGAAGGGAGACGGGAGGGGATTATGGCTGGGGAAGTCAATGCCTCGCGATCCGACCGACATATCATCCTGACTAGGAGCGACCGATAACCCTTCAGGTCACTTGTACGGCAGCAGGTTATTCACAGGCAGCCCACGCAGGCCATTGTAGCTGTCCCTGCTCTTACCCCCTTCTCCCTCCCTCTTGCCACCCTCCACGGGCTAACCCGCTCGCGACCGGCCCCTCGTTGGTCACCCACAGGAGGGAATGCAGTGGCTGCTGGACCAGGTGTAGCTCTAGCGCTTTCGCCGTACCCGTACGGCAGACTTTTCAGCTTTGCCGCTTATTCTCACCCTCATCTCGGCCCCACGGAGCCGTCGACATACCGTCTCCATATATGCCTTCGCCAGCGCCGGCTGGCTCGCCCCCCTCCGCTCTCCTGCTCGGGGGGGAGAAACACAACGTGGCGCCGGGGCCGCTGCCGCCTGTGGCCTGCGTTTCTCGCCGCCTATGTGCTTTCCCGGGCAGGGTGAAATGAGGGATGGAGAAGCCTTGGCGCTGTTTGGCCGCCCGCCAGCACCGCCGCTGCCGTCCGTCAGCGGCGCCGGGGCCGCCAAGCCGGCCTCGATCCTGTGAGAGCAATGTTCATGCCCCGTCTCACCCTGCGCGGACAGGGATGGGCCGAGCCGGTCCCTGCCCCGCTGTCCTCAGGTGGCGACGTGGTCTGCCTGCATGTACGGCGCAGGATTGCTCTCTTCCCCTTTCCCGTCCACAGCTCCGCACCACCAGGCCACTGACGGGACCGAGTGCCGGGGATGTCTTGGCGGGATGCCACGTCTTAGCACACGGCTGCGCACAGTCGGGCGGCCCACCCACCTACCTGCACGGCGCGGTCTACCCTGCGGCGCTTGTATTGCATCACACGGACCCGCTGAGCCACCCATCCTGGACGCGCTCTCCATGTCCTCCACCACCATCCCCGAACGCCGACCCACTAACTGCCACTGCCACCGCCACCTCGGGATGTCACAGCAGATTCCCGCTGCTGGTGGGGGTGGGGGTGGACCTCCCAGGGTGTCACTAATTTTTAGTGTACCACGCTCAAGGGGTGACCAGGACGGGGAGGCGGCTGTGGACACCATCTGCCTGGCTGTCCGTCTGTCCGTCTGTTCCCCCATCGATCGATGAACAGCACACGGGTGCGACAGGACCCTGCATCCTTACTCGACGTCGTGCGGTGGATGCCGTCCGGCCCATCCTGATACCATGCCGCGCCGCGCGGCCTAATGCACTCGACAAATTGCATTTGCAAAAGAGAGAAAAAGAGAGAGGGGATTGATTGGAGTTAGCAGTAAACGGTTTAGGGCGTAGAGCTGAGGATGTAGGTGTATGCAGGATGTAAGAGGGTGTAAGAGGCGTTGCGTGCCGCAGTCCAGTTATGTTTTGGTAGACGTTTTGTTCGAGTATTGAGTATGAATATTTTCATATGCTGTTTCATTGGGTCCATTGCAGTGGCGCTGAAGAGACGACGTGGTGTCATATTTTATGTGCATATGTGACGGAGGTTCACGGCAGCTTTGGAGCAGCATGCTGCACCAGGCCAGGCATGCTGTGCTGGCAAGGCCAGGCGGATGAGGCGGAACATGCTACAGAGACTGCCGCATGGCGGTTGGATTTGAAAAAGGTATACGAAAGGCTCAGGTAAGGATGCGAGGTTGTCCGACCGACCGATTCCGGGAGCCAGACTGGCCGAAACATTTCAACTGGTGGGGATTGCCTTGCTGGTTGCAATAAGAAGGGCAGACTCGGAGCAATGGGTCATATATATCTGTGGACGACTATAAGACGTGGATGCGGCAGAGACATGCTGATGTAAAACCCCGTGAATGACACGTGCGAAGGGCCGTCGCTCAATGGATAAAAGTGCGAATTTATCCTCGACGTATGCATTAGGTGTTCAGCAAACAGCCGGACCCCGTCAGGTCCTGTTACTGCAGTCGCATTCACTGGTGTATGAGTGTCGGTCACTTTACAACAGAAGCTTCCTATGGAGGACGGCATGGCTAAATAGGGCTTTAGGACGTATTCCAAGGGCACTCACCTGAAAGGGGCTAAGTACGTGACTGGCGCCTTATGAAGTGACGAACTTTCACAACATGCGTTCTACGTATCGCAAGGCCATGCACAGAAAGGGGTTGAGCATTGAGGGACTTGGCATTGAGTGTACAAAGGACCCTGTCGTATACAGTCCGGCAGAGCATGCGGTTCATGCACATGCGCACATGCACTTTTAAATTGTGTTGGATCTTTAAATTGTGTTGCAGCATTCCTTCAATGTCTTGACCCATAGGTTACCCATAAAACCCTACTGATACGCTTCGGGCAGGGTTCAAACGGTCTCCTACCATATGAGTATGCTACGACAGAAGAGGCCGCTTAGGGTTTGGAGCCTTTTCTTTTGCTCCTAATGCTGAAAAATTAGCATCAATTCGCACATGTCGGATTGCTTAGCTGTATTATTGAAAGGTGTTCATTCCCTCCCATTGCATGCAACAGTCATCGGGGAATCAAGTTGTGCTCCTATCATTAATAGGGCTCAACCCAACCGAGGACGTCTTTTCTTAAGGAACGCGCAACAGGACGTGCTACACGCGTAACAAGTCTACCCTAGCTCGGGATTCGGCTCCAAATCCTTACAGCCATAGGCTGCTCGGTGTGGGAAAAAACGCCGGCTCCACAACCGCGCATGAGCAGTAGCCAACCCCCTCATTTAAACTTCTGGATGCACAAAATGGTATCTACACATAAAACGACTGCGGTGTCATCAACAGAAAGCAAGCACACCTGCCCCTGCAATTCAGCGACATGCCTGCTCTTTCACAAGCATTGCTTGAGCTTTCACACCGGGAGTCGAAGCGCCGACTGGTAAAGCTGGATTACGTGTGCGCCCGACAGCACGCGCGCAACTACCTCCGGCGGATTGGACTAGGTCTGACCTGCAATTCCTGCCCGGATGATATCGGATAGGCCGCAACAGCGGCGCCACCACACTCCTGGACTCACTTGCGCGCATGTCTAACCATAGCCGCCACCATATGCAGAAATTGGTCGTGGGAAGCCATCTATGTATGGCGACGCCATAGCGACCCACAAAAAATGTTTCTTCTCCTCTCAGCATCATCGCCAAGCGATCGACCCTAACAACTAGCGCGCAGCTAGTGCACTCAATCCCAGCCTCTACGGAGTGGTCGTGTACTATGCTTCTGGACAGTGGGCTAAAGCAGCCGGTGGACCCATCGGTCCATGCAAACGCATGTCCCCGTTCCATTTCCTTCTGCAGGTCCATCTCGCTTGAGCACCGGCCCCAGCGACCATCTCTACTGCGTGCATCGTGCGTGCAGCAGCCATGTAAAAACGCGTACACGCGGACGCGCACGTTGCAGATAAGTCCTAAACGCACGGCGACCATCCTGCTCGCTGGCTGGCTACGTGCAACAACACGATATGTGCATACATGGCCTCATGTGTGCCGCTCTCGCATGGCCAGTTCCTGCATGCTGCACTGTCGTGCAGCCGCATTCAGCACTTGAACGCTCCACGCTCCCATTCCGCCTTCCCAGCGATACCCTGTGCACCAACTTGCCGTGCGGCTCCCCGCGGCACAACTGGTCGCCTCTCCTCACAACCACCGAACTTTGCTGCTTGAAGAATGAACCGAGCCTTGCAGGCAGGCACTCCAACTGCCGCGCGACGAATGGAGAAGCTGCCGCCAAAGAATTGCTGGCGGCTTTTACCTTGTCGGCATCTGGAAAGGACAAAAAAGACGGCAACGCGTACACAACCCTTCAAGCGTCCGAAACGGCATGAGAACCCGCCGACAAGGGGGCACTCAAGGCAATCCGGCAGACCATTGGTTGGTAGTCACGCGCGAATTTGTGGCCAACTCAGCACCATTCCCATACGAGGGCGTCAAGCGGCCACAGCGGTATGGACCCTGTGACACTCGGGTCCTCGGACTGCACCAGCAGCAATTCCTATCTGTCTTAACTTCCCAGCGGGTTTCATGCAAGATAGGCTACAACAGGGAAGGACGAGGTAAAAACGCAAAGCCTATGACGTCCATACATGACACACAGAGCACGTCAGCAACATGACACGCCAACTAAGCTTGCTGCTAAGCTGGCAGACAATTCCTCAATACAGCGATGCTTTTGCCGGTAGCTGAACCCAGCATAAGCCCTGCGGCATACACCGTCGACAAGGCACTGCCTTCCAAATGTGCCCCCAAGGACGGACCAACCCCGATAGGCCCGTGCTCCCCATATCTCACCTGATTATATGCCTTAGGGTCCTTCTGCTTCTTCGCCTTCGCCTGCCGCAGCTTTGCCTCCGCGAGTGCAGCCGCAGACAAGGCGGCCTTTTTCTTCGCCTGCTCCCCTGCCTTCTTTTTTGCCGCCAGCTTTGCCTTCACCTGAACAGCCAGTGACATGGCACAATCCAGTTTAAATCACAGGTATAAGCCTTGCTGGACTAAGTGCATTGGATCCACTACTGCCCATTTAGAAGTGCTACCCATCTAAAGAACAAGGCATGCGCGCCGTTCTTGCAGGCTCCAGCGCCGTACGAGGTGCTACGGCAAAACGTTATGCGCCGTGCACCTACCGCAGCGGGGTCGATGGGGCCGGAAGACTCCTCCGTCGGCTCTTCGCTGGGCTCCTCACTGGCCTCCTCTGTTGCCTCCTTGGCGTTCCGCTGTGCGCCCTCAATCTCCGGATCCCCAGTTGGCTTCTTCTTATCTTTGCGCTTGCGTTTAGCCTCGCCGTTTGCCGGCGCCTCCTGGTTCTCCTTCCCAATGTTAATGCCGAGCTCCGCGAACACAGCGTCCAGGTCCTGCAGCTCCTTTTTCTTCATCTCCTGCGGAGGCGCCAAGCGCAGGGCACGAGCGGGTGCCGGGTTGCCGACGGTTGGGGTCCCCGGCGTCGTCGCATGGCGAGCGCGCGAAAATGCCTGACAGCCATACTTCAGTAAGAAATTGGTCGTTCACCATGACACACCGCACCTTCTTAGAGAGTTGCTTCTCCGTCTCTTGAGCTGGCTTGGGAGCTGGCACCGGAACAGCGCGGTTGATACCCACCGAAGGCTCCTTGACCTCCTCCTCTGCAAACGAGGCACATTCCCTCAAGTCAGCTTGGGTATTTGTTGTGCACCTGCAACATATTGAGCAGGTGCGTACCTTCGTGGTCGCCATCGTCGCCTGTCCCGAGCTCGACCCCAAGCTCTGCCTCGAGGTCTATCTCCTCATCCTGTGCAAGAATTAGCTTAGAATGTATGCGTCTCTTAAGCTGTTACAAACTTAGGCGTACCTCCTCCCCCTCCCCCTCGTCGTGGCTGTCGTCCTCGTGCGTGCCGTTGGCAGCAACCGGGGCAGGTGCGCTACCCCGAGGTGCCTGTAACCAAGTCGGGAAACTTCATATGTTTACCCCAATTCATCGAAATTCAATCGTCGTGAGAATTGATCTCACTTGCGTCCATCCGGGGTCTACCGGTGGCGAGAAGTCATCTTCCTCATCGTCCGCCCAGCTTGCGAGGCCCACAGGCTGTGAGAACAGCTGCTTCTCAAGTTCAGCAGTATCTACCACCTTCTTGACCTCGCTGGACTTCTTCTTCTTGTCGCCGTCCTTGGACTTGCTCTTGCCGCTGGACTTCTTGACTTTCTTACTTGTGTCAAGGGCGCTGAAAATGTTACTGGTTGCTAGACTCATACCGGCTTGACGATTTAAAAAGCCTCTTCAATTTAAAATGGATACGCCTAGAAACAACGCAGAGCGATAGGGAGTAAAAGACAAGGGACGTGGCGGCGCAGTCTAATAATAGTTGCAAAGATTTCGGCGTCGTTCTGCTCTGTGAAATGGTGTGGTAACGCCTCAAGCAAAAGATCTACAAAAGTTGGAGGAGTACCCAAGACTTGACAGGAAGCGCAGATGTGTACGACATGGTGGAAAAGTTGCTTGAAGAAATCATGATCAAACTGACAGGTATATATATACATATACTTAAAGCTGCAAAGCTAATTTTTAAGGTAACTCACTTGTTCCGAGGTACAAGGGTAGGTACGTTCCCCCCCCCAGTTGGTACACAGCATAGAGTTGCCTTTTCACAAATCCTTGAGTAATTCAGGTTATTTAGTGCAAAGGGATTAATGAGGAGACCCTAAAACACAACTTGGGTGTCACGACAGCTTTAGATTGAAGGAGGAGCATCCAAGGAGGTAGTTGTGAATCAACTGCGGAGGAATACTCTGCGTTGCTTGGTTGACGCCACGCTCTCGGCGGCGTGACAGTAGATGGTGCTGATGCTTCTAGCAACGCATGCGCAGGGGGTTGTATGGGCTGACCTTGAGAAAGATAACGGGTTATCATGGGAGCTGTTACAAAGACTTGTTTGACGTCCTACTGGGTTCGGAACATTGGCCCCGTAGGAACATCATCCAACGCTCGCTTCACGAACGCGTTCGGACAACAGCACCCCAGAACGTGATCAATACAGGCGAACGTGCCTTCAATTGTTTCGCTCTTTGGCTTAGTGGAATGTACCAAGACAGCTGAAAAAAGGACAGGGTGCAGCACGACACCAGTGCCTCCTAGCAGCGAAATGGGAAAGTGCAATCCATCCAAAATCTTATCAAGCAATGACCTCAATATAGGCCAAGTTTGCTTGGGTGCGCCACAACGCCCAACTTCAAACCGACATAAGATCACGTGTCTGTTCGTCTGACAAATCTGACAAACCGTCAGAGGAACGAAGCGTCGCGTACGCTGCCACTTGCCTACTGTCGCGCTAAGCCTGCTCTTCCTGCGACGCATGGGCCGAGCGATACACATACGCGCCTGCCATACTACCGTGCTTTCCGAAAGACGTGGCCGACACATCCGCTGGCTCAGTTAGCCGTGCGTTGCACCTACGAGTAGCAATTTGATCTGTGATCGTCGCATATCCGAGGCCCAAACGCACAGGGTGCTACACCAGCAACAATTTTGCCCAACGCGTTGCATCAGTACTTAACCCCGCTGAGCTGTTTGTTTAGCCAGCGGAGTGTCAACAACGAGCAACGATGGCAGTGTCTGGTACATAAATTCCTCATCAGTTTAGGAACGACACAAGTCACTGCCCAACCCCTTCCACATCTCGCTTCCCCACACACCGTCGCTTCAAAACACCCGTCCAAGTTTCCATTTGCCTTGGTGTACGTCTCCACATCCCTGACCTGCCATGCAGAAAACCCCCGCAAAACAACACCGCTCTTCCCGTTCACGCTGGCGGTCGTCGGGGCGCAATTACCCTTCGCACGTTACCAAATCTCCTACTCAGCGGTCTGCACCATCAGCGGTCCCGCACAGCCCGCGCACCCCCACCTCCATGTACCACCTCTCCGTGCACAGCTCATGAAAACCTAATACAGCTTTACTGCTCACTAGAATACGAAGGGGCGCCACATAGGGCGCCACTACACCGCCATTTGGTGGCGCGGCCCCGCGGGGCCCCCGTGCCACCTCTGCTGGCCACCCGACCGCACAATGGCTCACCCATTCTCATTTCCATCTCCCCCACCAGTTAACCACCCGCTTCACAACCGTCTCCCTTGCGAGCGCCATTCCGTTAGTCACGCAAGGGACCCTGCTTGGGTGGAAAGAGCTTATTGCGGATCGCGAACAGATCATTCTGACTGATGCCGTACACGACAGCGGCGCCCAGTATGGGGCCCACCAGGAGGGTTGGGACGAGGCCTGTGCGGGCGTGAGGGAGATGGGGTAGGGTGAGGTCGGGGCCCGCGTGTGTTGGCGAGGAGGTCAGCAAAACTTCGAAAACTCGAATGCTCGAGCTACAGGAACGGGGCCCTAGAGGATGCCACCGCGCGTGGGCAGACACGAGTTGTGGACAAGCATGCAAAATGTTTGTAAAGCTGCGGATGCACGTGCCCACTTTGGCCGTCGCGCGAGGACGGACGGCAGGTGTTCCATGGGCATTTGGTCGGAAACACCTGGGTGAGTGGGTAAAGACGAACCACGAACGGTGTATGGGTGGGTGGCTGGCTGGGTGGGTGCCAGAACTTACTAACAGCAACAGGTAGGCAGGCAGGCTGATGGGGAGGTAGACACACATAGGTATATAATACACATAGCAGACAGTAAGAGAGGTGAATAGATAGGTAAACAAGCAGACAGGCAGAAAGGCAGACAGACAGGGAGGGCACGCAGACAGACAGGGAGACGAACAACCAGGTCGACAAACAGGCATGCGTTGCGGGTGGCAAGCTGGGCCAGGCAGAGAGCAGTATTAGCCATGAGGAGCGCTCGAGCCAGGCTGACCCCTATCCCCAGCTGCACAGGACCCTGCGTGTGTAAGGCCCTGCCAGACGCCATCCAGGATCCAAATGCTGACTGCGTGCGAAAGCAAGCGGCACGGAGATCAACGTGCCAACTCAGGTCAAACCTCCAGGGATTATCGGCAGTGGCAGATTATGTATGATGGCTCGTCGCGCTGAACAGCTTCCAAAATTTCGTCACATCTCGATAAACTCAGCTGTAACACTTTTACGCAACATTTGTGCAAACAGGAGTATCTTATCACCAACACAGCAGATCCTGGGAAAAAGCCGGGTCCTGCTCCGTGATCCATGATGGAGGACGGGTCCATGAGAACGAATGGGTGTATGAGGGGCCCTGGGTCCCCCACCGGTCCCGCGCGCCCATCTTTGGTCTCTAGTTCTTCGAGTCGACTTCGGGATGAATGACCCAAGATTTAAATTCGGTACTCTCAAAGGTAATACTAGGAGCACGCGATCCACCTGCCTTCCCGTGCCATCCCCCTTCGCCCCGTCCACCCCGTTCATCATGTCAGGCACTTGTACCGTTTCCCATCCACCCCCGACTGGCTCCTGTCGCCCGGCATTGGTGACCCTCACGTCTCATCATCTTACCAAGCAGTGGTGACGCAAGAAGGCCCACCACGGGCAGCCGCCTCACAGCTGCCTTGACCAGCACCAACCCCACGATGCCGCCCACCATGCCCACCCCGTACCTGCAGCGGCAGAGCAGGGCGCCCAGGGGCGGGGGTTACTGCAGGGGTTTGCGCCCAGCTAGTGTGCTGGAGACGGTGGCCTTCCAGGATAAAGAATACGGCAAGGCAGTGGCGCTGTTCGTTGTGATCCATCATAAGCGGCGTCCCCGCTGCAAAGCTCGCAACAGCACACACGCAAAACAGATAATGCTAAAAGGAAAGGCAGCAGTCGCAGCAGCAGCAACAACAACAGAAGTGGCAACAACAGCAGTAGCAGCAGTAGCGTACACATCCATTTCCGCACTCCTCCCAGGCTCAGGAGCCCCCTGAGCCGGGCCGGCACGTACATTCGCCCGAAGCCCACACATGCCTTCATGGCCGCATAAGTGATGACGCTCGCGTAGAAGTCCTGAGCGGCAGAGGTGAGGTCGGGGGAGGAGATGTAGACAGGCCGCAAGGAAATGGGATAACGTGAACGCCGAGAGAAAGGAAGCGGAACATGAGAGGACAGCGCCAGGGCAAACCCCCCACGCTCCCCCGGCGGCCTGGCGAGCCCTACCCCGAAAGCTCACACGCCACCAACTCACCTTTCTACAGTTCCACTGAGCCGACGCAACTCAATCCCCGAGCCCCTCCAGCCCCCTTCTTCCTTCTCAGCACCACGACCCCCCCCCCGCTACCACTCTCCTTCATGTCCCCATCTCTGGCCAGATCCCCCTGGGCCCCTTCCGCCCCTTCCATCCCTCGGCTCACGAGGAACTCGCCGCTATCCAAAGTGGCGTTGGAATCGTAGTCGCATTCCTGCAGCCAACAGGGCCCAGCAAGGGGGGGATGTATGCAAAAGCCAAGGGGGTAGCTGCCGGCGAGTATGGGGAATGCGGCCTCATGGAAGAGCGGCGGAAAGGGATGCAAGGCTGTAAGGCCGGGAAACGGCAGCACCATGGCAGCTGAGTTCGGCCGGAGGCGACGGAAATATGAGCCGGAAACCGGCGGAATGGGAAACCTGCACGGCGGGCAGATGTCGCTAGGCTGCTCGAGGCAGTCCGAGGAGCTACGGACCCGCTCCTCCCTCCCCCTTCCCTCTCACAGGCTGAACCAAAACAAGATGCACGCCAACGGCGGTGTCACCGTGGGGTGTTTGGGGGGAAGGGGGAACCCGTGCCAGCGGCATTACGTAGGTGTGTATGTATGTATGTATGTATGTATGTATGTATGTATGTATGTATGTATGTATGTATGTATGTATGTATGTATGTATGTATGTATGTGTGTATGTATTATGTACGTTGTATGTATGTATGTATGTCTGCCCTGACCCCTCCACCACCCACCCGGAATATGGCCCGCACATCATCCGAGGTGAGAGGGTCCAGGGATATCCCTGGAACGGGGAGCCAGCGGGGTTGGGGTTGGGGTTGGGGTTGGGGGGCAAGGACAGGAGTAAGCGGGGGCTGGTGACCAGGGGGTGGGGAATTATACATGTGTAGCAGTATCAAGAAGAAAACCACCGCCGACTGACGCCCAAAGTTGATAACTGATGCTGCTGGAGTCCAAGAGATACTGGCAGGAACAGAACAGGAATATGCGTACGCGAGGGGCCCACAAAACAGTCTGACATTCGGGCGCACGGGTGTACATGCCCTTGCTCTATGGTTGGGACATGCATTCTTTTAAAGCGCGGAACGTAAGGGCAAATAAGGGGTGTTTGCCCTAGTGGGTTGTGGGGCACACGGAGGATTGCAATCTGAGTGAAAGATGCAAAAGTGAACGGCAGCAAGCAAGCAGCAGGTTTGAGTGCACTCTGCATGTGTGAGGCCGGGTCCTGCTATCCGCGTCACGGCCTCCGCACATCAACCACACACCACACCACATTACGTCAGCACCCGCGCTCTACTTCCAGAACTCGGCTCGCCCAGATCCCACCATGGTACCAGCTCGTCCCGCCATTCCTGAACCGTCCCACACACCCCGCGTAACCCGCCCCGCCACGTGGAGAGCCGATTGCCGGACCCCCCCCATCTCCGCCACCGCTCCCCAGCCCTACCGTACTCGGCACACGCCTTCTGCAGCTCCCTGAACAGCGCCTCTACGCACGATGCCGCCTCATCTAGACTCACTCGCCCCGCAGAGCGGTAGTCTAGGGAATCGAAGGTGGACTCGCACACCCGCTTGAACTGCTCGCTGTTGCGGACGAAGTTCCTGCCCTCGGAGGAATACAGCCGGGGGGGAAACCGCGGAGGGAGCGGTTTGAAGAGGGAGGTCGGGGGGGTTAGGCGGATAGGGATGTGCACCGCTGGCAGTAGTTCTCTCTCTTTCGCTTTCTCCGCTGTGTATATGTGTGCATATGTAAGTGTGTGGATGTATTATCATAATAATAGATATGCACGCGAGGGTTTGCTGTGTGTGACGATTGGAAGTAGGGTTGGGCCGCACATAACACCGTCAACCATGCTTATGGCCATCCAGTGTTGCGTTCTGAGAGAGATTGAGAGTATTGATGAAGTTATAGATTCGTATGAATAGCGCATGGTGGTGTGGCGATGGAGGAGGTGGGGAAAAGCAAGTGTCGGCAGGTGGCAGGGCAAGGGGATGGCAAGCAAGGCAGGGAAGGAACGCGTGTGGAGCTTGCTACGACGGTGGACATGAGAGCGCTTTGCTCTTCCAAGCAGAAGGGGATTGGGTTTCTACACTGGGCCTTTTCAACGCCGTGACCGGAAGCGGACACTTCATACCATTTTGGTAGTATGATAACAGAGAGGTGAACTGATTTCGCCCTCTTGGCCAACATGAGGAAACTTATAGCTAGTGGAGTGAGGGCATACGTTTCCATAGGAGAGAAAACATTTGGAGTCTGTAATGCAACACCCAAGGTTCCCGTTCCCATGCTTGCAGCAGCCCCTTGCATATGATTGAATTTTAATAACACGCACCTGACCTTATCGTGCACGGCCTGAACCAGCTTAGGCATCCTTGATAACGCCACTCGTAACGTATTGCGTATCGTTAACGGCGCTCAGAGATTTTTGGCCTTATGCTTTATAATATGTATCTTAGAGAAGATGATACATGACAGAAACGTCAGCTCGGATTCACAGCGACACTTAGGGCTGAGTCAGAACGCAAGGGAACACGGTCAAGGCGGAGTCTCGGTGTTACATGTGTTTATGGATTGCGACGGTTATACTAAAAGCGTTATTTGAATGGAATGTTCTGCAAAGAAGACGCCCTTGTACGGAAATGGCCCACGGTTCTATCTTGCGCTACGCGTATGGTTTCCGGATGTTTATTCTCCACTCAACAAGGATAAGCCTTAAGTGTGAATACAAAAGGTTATCAAGATGGCAAGCTGGCGGCCGCCAGAGCTCCCCGGCGGAGTCGGTCGGAGCCGGTACCACTCTTTGGACGTCGAGCTGCAGCTCCAGCACCAACAGGAACAACAAATGCAGCAGTATCGACAGATACAAGAGCATCTCGAAGGTATACAGAATGGACACCAGCAAGAACGTGGACGAGGAGACCAACAGCAGGGCCAAGCACCTAAGCCAGAAGGTGCCAGCAGCCGCGATCAAGCGCCCGATTTCGCTGTTGCCTCCGCCGTCGTCCCCCAGGCCGCGACGAATACGGCAGAACGTTTGGAAACTCAGCCGCTGTTGCGGTCCGGTCCTGGGCTAGCGGTACCCGGCAGTAGCAGCAACAGCGGTGCCGCAGGGGTACCTGTTCGGATTCAGCCGAGGCATGCCGCACCGGCGCCACCCGCAGCAGCGGCGGCAGCGCTGGAGGGCGGTAGTGGCAACCAGCAACTGCGTGATTCTCCTGCGGGACCTGGATACACTGGACAGCAGGTGCAGCAGCAGCAGCAGCAGCATTGGGAGGTGCAAATGTCGTCAGGAGCCGCACCAAGTGGACGGTACGGCACGGCAACGGCGTCGGAACCCTGGTACGGTACGGTTTCGTGTACGGCAGGCATCTCCAGCAAGTTCACGAACTGGGTCTATCGTGGCATCGTCCGCAGACGCGTGCATGTGGCGTGTCATGCGAGTGTGTTTTGGGGCGGCGTCTGGCCGTGGCGGAGCTGCGGCAGCGATGGTATCGAACAGTACCAGGGTCGGAGACCTGTGCCCTATCTCTCCCCCACATAAAGTCCTGATTTCCTTGGCTCCCACCCTCTGGCTTTTGACCACAATTTACTGCAGTGTACGAGAGGACGGTTAAAAAAGCAGCGAAGGAAAGAATCGCGTCCCTGAAAGATTGAAGTTTAACCTTTTGACTATATATGTGTTATCGTCCATCTTTTAAATATTGGCCTCGGTCGCATCGCTCATGCCGAACGTTTACCTGCCTGGGTGCACACGACACCCATAACCTCTCCCGCGTTTGGCCGGACGGTGGGTCCCTTTGCAACCGGCCGCCTTGCGAACAGCGGGACAGGCTACTGGTGAAGGCTTGCTTCCTATGAACTCTTGTGCCGGTGCCGGTGCTGGTGCAAGTTGACCGACCTTTGCGTTGCCCTGCCAATGGTCGTTTCCGCCTTTTGGTCGCCTCCTCTCCTATATCTGTTTTTCATTACCTACTGCATGTGGCCCTGCCATCCGTCTTTGGTGCATTTTCCACCGCGTCTACCTGCTGGCCTAGCTAGGTCCGGTCCTTGTGTCTCCACCGCGGGCAGGCAGGGCCATGTAGGGGCTTAGGTGGAATATGTTAGCTACGGCTACTGCTATTGCTGCTGCCCTTTCCCGTCCTGAACCGTTAGTCCCGCTGTAACAGCTGTATCGGTCTCTCCCCGTAAGGTCCTGAAGCCGTTGCGAGGTTAGGGGTGATGTACACTGATGCACATACTCGGGAGTTCCAGATAAGGTATTCCAGAATGTCGCAACGTTACCGTATATGCTCTCCCCCCGCCCCCTCGACATCCCCTAGGTGGGCTTTATCCTGCCCGTCCTCAACGGTGACAGCAGTCAGGTCCGCGATGTGTCTGTCGGTCTCCGCAGGTCGCCATCCGACTCCAGGGAGCCCGAGCCCAACCCCTGCTCTGAAGACCGCACCCCCGGCAACAGCAACACCCCAGCACCGGCGGCTCCCGGGGACACGGGACGCGGTCCATCTCGCACAGATGCAGGCAACCCACGGCCTCGGCCGCCTCCCCGCCTGACGCCGCCTAACTCAAGACGGTTTGTGGTGGCCATTGCAATCATGGCCGGTGAGTGCACGGGGTAGATATGGCAAGTGCTGGTAAAATGACTGGGTAGTTAGTGGTGGAGGGGGAAGGGATGTGAAGGGCATGTGCCCACTTGGATCTGCCAGCCGCCTGGTGCCCCGTGTGCGGTTCAGGGGGTTCCAGCGGGGTCTTGTCCTGTCGGAGCATCCAGCTGGCGGGTCAGGGCAGTATGGAGGGCAGAATGTTGCCTGGAGTAACGCCTGCAGCACAAGAGTTTTCGCTTCGATTCGCGCTTAACGACCCTAACTGACCCAAAATAAGACCCCAGCCTCACGAATCGACTTGATCGCAAGAGTTTAAATGCAATGCAAGCCAGTAAGGACGGTGTGTGTGCGTGCGCGTGTGTGTGTGTGTGGCTGTTTGGAAGCTCGTCTAAGCGTTTGACGCCGAGGATGCTGAGGCACACGAGAAGTGACATTGGCGGCTCCGACTACTAGGAACCAAACCTATGCTGTAACGCAATGGTGTTGAACGGGCATGTGACGAATGTGTGGACAGAGGCTCTTAGGTCGGTCCGAGGTGGTGTGCAGCTTCCAACGCCCGTCTCCCTAATCATATCCGGCTGGTGTCCGGCGGTGGTTGCACCGGTGGCTGCTCCAACGGAAGCCGTGTACGCCCGTTGCGACGATGAATATGAAGCCGTAACATCGTTGTTATCCAAAAACGCTTGCAACGGTAGAGCTGGATGTAGGTGCCGTCGCTACGAGGTAATGGAGGCCGAGGGGAAGCCGCGACGACGGAGTCGCTGCTTACTGTTGGGCTCCAGGGGTTGTTGCCGTTAATGCTGTTTTGTATAGTCAGCGATATCGCGTATCTGTTTCACATACGCTGCACTTATCTTTTTATGTGTCACTCATATCCAGCAGGTTTCGGCCCAAAGCCCCTGCCCCAAACAACCTCAATACTGCTGGACCCTTGCCCGAATCCGGACGGAAGCCTATCTGAGAGTGAAAGTATGCTTCATATTGTCAGCCTTTACGGAGGTTGAAATTCTTGTGTGCGCGGGTGGCCCTGCTGCGTCCTTTCCAAATCGTTGTGTCGCTTCAATTCGCAGCTCCCTCTGCAACTGCCGTGCCCGATCGTGTTCCGCCTCGGCAGTGATGACATTTCTAAGCATTATCGTCTTCTTCTCCGTGGCACTGGCGGTCTGGGGCCGTCGCGCCGCCCAGCTGTCCCCGGGGAGCGGCACCGACCCACGGGTCGCTGGCCTTCTACTGCGAGCCAACCTGAGCGTCCGGGACATGCAGCTGCTGCGGCCGGGGTTCCACATACGTCCCCCAGGGGGCGGCTGGTGAGAGAGAGGAGGGGCCTCGGAGAGGTTGGAGGCTGTGGGGGACGTGAGGCGAGGATGTGGATCGATGGTGCGGTGTGTCCACACAATGTCACGGCGGTGTAGCTGCGGGCGGGGTGGAGGGCTAGGTCGCAATTCAGTCCCGTGATGTTCCACCGCAAACTGATTCAGAGGGTTGTAACGGACAGAAAGAAAGGAGCGTCTACTCGCGCTGCTGTCGATATTTATTAGCTTAATCTTAGGCACCGTCATTCGTAGACGTCATGTGTGGGTTCGCGACGGGGGAAGGGCTCCCACCTGGCACCTTGGCAGGGAACATGAAAACATTCCACCCTTCCAAATCTGTATCGAGTCGCTCTTCCTCGTACGCCCTAAACCTGTCGACAAACACATCATGCACAAACGGCAACGGCATTGCAACGGCCGCAGGATCAACGACCCCAACGGCCTTATGCAGTACCGCAACATGGTCCACGTGTTCTTCCAATACAACCCGTACGAGGCCGTATGGGGCCCTATGCACTGGGGCCATGTCGCATCTCCCGATCTGGTCCATTGGGTCCACCTTCCCATCGCCCTGGCGCCCAGTGACCCGTGGGACAGTGATGGCTGCTGGTCCGGCAGTGCCCTCGTGACGACGGAGGACGGCGTGCCACGACTGTACTATACAGGTAGGTTTTAACGAACGGAGCCGCTAGAGAAAATGGCGAGGAGGGATGGTAGGGGTGAATAGCTTCACGTGGATGTGTGTGTGTGCGTGTGTATGTGCGTGTGTATGTGTATCTCGGGTGGTCGGATGGGTTAGTGCCCTACGGGGACCTCCTGTACTCGGTGCACTAGAATAGGCTGGGCCGCAACACACGACCATCAAATAACCGCCGTACAAGCGTACGATAACAAAGATCTCGTGGTGGTTGGGTTAGTTAGCGTGAGGCCCTCTCGTGAGACGCATGTACTCCTTACGTAAGTATGTATGTGTAGGAGGGCATGTGTATGCATTCCCCATGTGGGTGGTCGACCAGGGCCCAACCCATTCCCTTCCGCCACGCAGCCACAGGCCTACCTCCTTCCAAAGCACACCTAGACGCGCATGCGCTCCTCCTCCCGGCCCTCCTCCTTAACCCCCACCGCACCCCCTCTACCCGCTCCAGGGGTCACGAATCGGAGCCAGGACGGCTTCTTCTACCAGGCCCAGGCGACGGCCCTTCCCGCCGACCCAGCCGACCCCTTCCTGACTCGCTGGCTCAAGCCCCCCGACCTCAACCCCTTGGGGCTGGACCTGCCCCCCGGGGGGGTGAGGGCGCAGTTCCGAGACCCCATCGCGCCGTGGGCTGTTCCGCCCAACCAGCTGGGAGCGGACATGAAGGCCTGGCTGGGCTGGCAGCGAGTGGGGAATAGCGCCGGAAGCAGCAATGGCACCAATAATGGCAGCAGCGGCGGCGGTGGTGGCGGCAGTAGCGGTGGTGCCTATTCGGGTGGCAATAGCACCTCTGACGGTGGCGGTGGTTTGTGGTTCACAGCGTTGGGAGCTCTGGATGACTGTGTGGGTACTGCGGCGCTGTACTCCTCAACCGACTTGAGGTCCTGGACGTACGCGGGTGGGTAGGTGGGTGGGTGGTAGAGGGGGTTTTATCGGGTTTGGCGACTCAGTGAGCGATTAACGCTAAAAAAATATAAAGTAGGTGAACCTACTGGACTGTCTCTGTGCCTGAAAAACCGTAAGACGGCTAGGCGCATGTGAGGGCGGCACATGACGTGACGTGGATTGAGGACCCACTGCCCGAGAGTAGGCGAAGGTAGGCACAGGCTGGTGGTATACGAGGCTCTTAAGGGCCCGGGACGGACCCTTCAAAGGGGGGGGGAATGTAGCAGCCGGTACACAGTACGGCGCTATAAATACGCGCGTAGCGCGACCACCAGCATCTCGAGAGGCCTTTTCAGCGGCCAGCTACTACAGTGGCTGGAAAGGTTTTGGCGGAGAGATAGGTGAATGAAGCGGGAACCGAAAAGCGGGCGGGAAGCCAAGTAAGAGAAGTGGTCTCACAGAGGGGGCTGCGGGAGAGGGGGCTGTGCGGTAACGGGCTGGTGCGGATCGCGAGTGGGAGACGGGCGGAGAGGGGAGGGGAGGAGGGGGTATCCCGCCAGGAGGATCTTACGTGTCTTTTGCTTGAGGCCATCTACCAAGCCTTGAAGCAAGGGCTGGCGACATGGTTCCCCCTGGCCGCACGACTGTACATCTCGCCCATTCGGACCTGCGCAGGGCGCACTTACGCCTCCTTTTAATTTCTAAGGCCCAACTCCCCCCATGCATGCATGTATGTGTATATGTATGTATGCGTGCCCATCCGCTCTCCTCATCCTACCCCCTATCGCCCCAGGCACATTATTTTCGCAGTTGGGTCAGAACTTCAGCATGTACGAGCAGTGCCTGTCCGCCAACGCCACTGGACTGCCCCCGGGCGCGAGGGGCTATGGGGGGCCCTGCGACCAGATAGGCCCCAAGTGCAGGATGTGGGAGTGCCCAGGTGGGGGACCGGGGGGGAAGGGGCGACAAAGGGACCCGAACGCTACCCGGGTACGAGAGCCACCTGGAGCAATGTGTCCACCTAGAGGGGTCCGACAATATGTTTGTTGGGGGTTGTGTGGGTTGGCGAGCCCTTAGAGGGGAGGGTGAGAGGTGATGATGATGATGGTGATGATGATGATGATGATGATGATGCGGCGGTGGCGGTGGTGGTGGTGGAGGTGGAGGTGGAGGTGGATTTCCGAAAGGAGCTCGTGTTCACTTTCACATCCAACAAGCCTTCACTACTCCCGTCGAAGCTGCACAGGTGGCAGTGGCGGACTGTTGGTAGCGCCGGCGACCGCAGTGTGTGTGTATTGCAGCACCCCGCTGTGAAAGTCGTGACGGCCATCACCGAATCCTAAACTGGGCGAAATCTCATTGTATGTACGGTGCGGCTGCTGCGTCAGGTTTCCTCACGCTGGATGCGGCTGCAGTGGAGTCCTCCATTGCGCAGGTGGCGGCGGAGGCCGCAGCCCGAGTGGGAGCAGTGCCGCCGGACAGCGGTGGCGGTGGTGGTGGCGGTGGCAGCGCTGATGCCCTGGGAGGCGAGATGGGGGTGGTGGTGTTCAAGTACAGCGATATGGTGCGACCAGATTTGAGGCTGATCTGGCACTGGCACTGGCCCGGGTGGGAGATGCCTCAACTAATAACTAATAACAAACTGATCATTTTTTATCACTAGCGAAAGAATGTGTTTCCTTCCCCCCTCTCACCTGACGTCCTCCCCTCCCCTCCCCACGTATTAGGCACTACGGGGCTGCATGCACATGCCCCTAGTGCGCGCAGGTTGGCGGGAGCCACGGGTGGCCCCGGCCCGCGCACTTGCGCTTCTCTTCCTACAAACTCCCTCTCCTCCCTTGGGCTTGGCTTTTCTTTTGCGTTGGAAAGAACGTTCGCGTTTGCGTTCTTTCCAACCCCCTTCTTTGCATTCTGCCGGCATACACGCCGTCCAACGCGTCATCCCGTCCAATGCGTCATCCCGTCCAATGCGTCATTAGGTCATCTCGTACGACACCTTCTGTGTCGTCCTGCGCCGCCTTTTGCTATTTTTTTAGTTCCTGCGTTTTCTTCCTTTTTCATATAGTTTCTTTAGGGCTTCTCGTTTCCAGCTTCCCCGATCAGCTAGTTTTATACTCCTTTTCAGCAGCATTTGCATGCGTTTTCGTATTTTTCTTTCGCTGCTCACAAATTCCCCAACCTCTCTGCCTTGCATGTGCCTTTACCCGCTGCTCCTGCTGCCTGGCCAGGTGAGTCCATAAGGTGGTTCGAGCTTCTTTGGTTTTTCGCGTTGGCGTCGGTAGGCTAGCCGGAATAGTTTAGTTTGGGTCGGTCGGGTCAGTCGCGCGTTCTAGTTTTTTTGGGGGGTTGGGAGGAGCACTTGCATACCGGCAGCCTTTCAGTATCAGCAATGCAGCTTTCTCTCCTGGCCAGCAACTTTACGCCTCTTTTACGTCAGCACTTTCTTTTCTCGCCGCCTTCACTACTTTTTCTACACCTACTAGTTTACGTGTTGGTTATAATATTTCTGGCGGCTTAGGTAGGTAGGACTTCCAACTTCTACGCCAATTCTTCATCCCGAGGTTACAGTCGTCATCCCGAGGTTACAGTCGTCACATTCGCCACGGACGCCTTTCGGTCAGTTCTTTCGGTTGCTACTATCTTGCTCTGGCAGCAGCTTAAATCGCGTGTGGTTCGTCTTTCCCCCTCTCACACATCCATACATGCACACTTAACTCCTCCGGTTTCCTTCCCGTGAGTTGTTTGCGGTTATGTGGTACTTCATGTCACTTCACGGGGCCGTGGCCGGCTGGCGCCCCACGCCGTACGTGGCTTAACCAACTGTCTAACTAACCGGCTAGTGAACCAGCGAGCTAGCTTATGGGGTGGGAGGACGGCGGAATGTCCCTGTCCTTGCTCAGCCACCTACCGCAATAACAACACCCCTACACCACACGCACGGCACGCCGACCACTCTTCACTACGACACCAGGGCACTACCGCGACAACCACCGCCACTACCATCGCCGCTAACGCCGCCATCTACACACGCCCCATATCGTCTTACTGCCGCACCCCAGCACTAACAGCTCCTCGGAAGGGCACTCCGTCTTTGGTTTTCTGTACTACCCATTCATCTCATGTTTGCTCCAGAACCATTTCCGTACTACCTTATTCACTTCCTAGTACGACATCTTCTCTCTCCCCTACTTCCGCATCTGGGTCTCAGCTCAGTGAGGGCCGGCGCGCCGCCGCAGACGTGTGTCCCCGTGTGTGTGTTCGGCCTTTGCAACTGCCCTCTCATGCCCGCGCACATCTTCCGAAAAACACACATACTGACTCACGCCGTTGCTGCTGCTGCGCCAACATCTTTTTTCGTTATTACACAGACCAGTTAACCTTCCGCGTTCACGGAAAGGGTTGTATGTGCGGCGGGGGGGGACACCTGCTTGTAGCCGCATCGCACGCGCTGCGGTAGCATGACACCCTCTGCTCTGTCCGCTAGCTCAGGACAGGAACGTAGTTGTTGGGGTTATACCTATTTGGATCTCCATCTAGCTGGGGCGTTAGGTACCTTCGTTAGCTATAGATAATTCTAACCGCCCGCCACCAGGTCGTCATGCCACTACAGCGCCTCTGCTTCTTTCTACGGGATCTTGATATCACTCTTCTGTCAAAACCTGTTCAACGTCTGTTCATCACGTCGCTGTTGACTATCAGAGGTGTTCGCTTAAGTTATGAAGTTATTCGTGTACCACCATAATCGGCATTTTCCACATCGCCACTCAGATCATGTAATACTTGCGAGCTGACCAGGAACTAAGTTGATGCGCCGTTGATCCGCTAGATTTGGTTGAGCAGGGACTGCCCGGGAAAGGGGCCGCTGGCGAAGTTAACCACCCTGTAACAACATACAAGTACGCATAGACACAGGCACACACACACACGCCGCTTCATATGCATTTCCGTTCAGCTATCGCCAATCGCTTTAGTTTTTTGTTTTATTGGAAAGGATAGTTCTTTTATTCGATAATGCATGTCATACATACAGATGCGCAACCGGACGCTATTCGCTGCCGACTGGTATCAGCTGGGTTCCCCCAGCCTCCTCAACTACAGCCTGGCGGCGTACCAGGACGGGCTGGACGTCTTTGCCCCGCGACTGCTACTGCCGCCGTTGCCGCCGCTGCATCCACCGCGGCAGGGGCCCAGTGGCCCCGGCGGTCGCGGGGGCGGTAGCGGAGGTCCGTCTCCACCTCCCCGGCGTGTTCTGGACAGCCCTCCCCAGCTGCTGGATTACGGGACGGTGTACGCCTCTCAGAGCTTCCGGATGGACGACGGACGGGTGGTGTGGCTGGGTTGGGTGTACGAGGTGTGTGTACATGTATATGTATATGTAATGTACATATGTTACAGAGTGGGAGGCTTCGGGGCCACTTTATCACATTGTCAATTCTACGATTTATCACCTTGTAGCACCATCCACCACTACCACGCTGTACTACGCCATACGAACTGTATGTTCGAGACGGTGGATTCAGCCATCAGGGACCCCTCCTCATCCATTCACCCGAACATCTAAGAGACGGAGGGTCCGGCAATCATCATCAATCCAGCGTGCGAATCTGGTCCATTGAATGTGTCCTCAGCTCCACAATTCAGCAGCTAGCCATTATCTCGCGCTCCCGACAAACTCGGGGGTCTCCCCAGGTATCGAACCCAGGACCCTGAACCGCTAATTGCAGTAGTGTCAATCCAGACCAGACAGATATGCG